AAACAGCTCCTACTTGCTTACTTCCCGTGAGCTCCCGGGTTCCCCTCTGCAGGGGAGAGGGTGACATGCCTGCCTTGTGGCTGGGGGCACTGACCTCCGTAGGCCCTGCCTCTGGGACTGCCCCCCCCCCCCCCCCCCGCAAGACCTCACTAACCTCTCCTGTTATTGGATTTGAGGAACCAGTAGTGAGCTTGGGCAGTCTGGGGGCCTCTCCAGGCGGCCTTAGGCCTCTGGGCCGGTGCTCATCTAACTTCCTCTGACGGAAAAGCTCTTCCCAGGCTCCCTAGGCCCCTAGGGCACCTACTCATCTTCGAAGCTAAGGGCAAGCACGAGCCTGTGCTGTTGCCCTGGCAGAGCCGGCCAGGCCCCACTGCGCTGTGTACCCACTCCTGCCCCGGGCCCTCTAGCACACTGTGCACCGCCTGCTCACACGCGTGTCTCCATCCAGGTGGAGGGTCTCTCGGGGGCCAGTTCTGTGCTTTCTCTCTGTATTCCCTAGTGCCAACCGCAGGGCCTAGAAAACAGCTGGTGCTCAAAAAACATTTCTCGAATGAATGGGTGAATGATGTGGCACTCTTCTGCAGCATGACTACCAGCACAAGAAGCAGGGGCCCGGCTGGGCCTGGGCGCTTTCCCACGTGCCTCTGTCAAGTCCCTCTCTCTTCCTCTCGCTGAGACAGGACGATGAGCGTGTGCAGAAGCGGATGTGGACGTGTTTGAGGGGTGCGCACACGGTTGTCCCTCAGGCCACCCAGCCGCCCAGCCCTCAGAGCAAGCGGCAAACGGAAGTGTGTGGCCTTACCTTCCTCCATCCTGAACACATGCTTTGTTACTGTTGGGTTGCTCGTGGACGCTGGGCTGTTGGCATTGTTTTTTTTTCCCTTGTGAAAAGAAGAGCATTGAGGAACCTTTTGGGAAAAGACCCGGACAATGATGGAGAAATACACTGACCTCTGCAAGCAGGAGGGGGTATCGGGAGGTGTGGGGAAGTCACACTGGGAGGACGGTAAGCTTGCAGCAGAATTCTGCAGTGACGTGCATGTGTAGGGGCCTGGGGACCAGTCTTGGGGGTCCCAGAGATGGAAGTGTCGTGACACAGCCGAGACCCCCTTCGGTGAGGGTGACGGGTGGTGGGGGGGAGAGGGAAGGAGCCTCTGGCCCATGCAGTGCCGGCTGCGCCCCACGCACGTGGGATGCCAGGAGAGGAAGAGGAGACAGACAAAGGCTGAGTTTTCGGGGACGCCTCTGGATGTTCTGACTCAGTGGCCCAGCTTCTGGCTGCCACCCTCCTCCCCCAATCCCCAGACCCCTGGGTCTGAACAACTCTCCTGCAGCTGAGGTGGATCTGTGGGGAAAGCCCACCAGAAACCTGCCAGGGCTGCAGGAGAGAGAGCTGGGGGCTCTGTGGTGGGGGACTAAGCAAGCATCCCTGGCAGCCTCCCGACTCAGCAGAAGTAGGTGGATTCTGGCCGGTGGGAAAAAGCTAGCTCTAAAGGAGGCTGCTCTCCAGGCCTCAGAGCGAGGTAGGGGATGAAGAGTAGCTCCTAGACAATGGACTGGACTCGGACAGAAAATCTTATTATGACCTCACATTCTCCAGCGCCTTTGTGCGCCTGGGAGGTGGGTGCTGGTCTCCCCATCTTGCAGGCAGCAAAACCAAGGAAGAGCAGGAAGCCATTGGCTCTGGGTACACAACCCCCCACGAGAGAGAACTGGGCCGCTGCACACCCCAGGACGGTGACGTGACAACTCCAGAAACCGCTAAGACTGGCTCCAATGCTCCCCACTGGCTGTGTCCACCCATTCCCTGCTGGCTCTTTTTGGAGAATGGGCCTGCTGCCCCTCTATGCCCTGGGCCAGGATGGGTAAGCCACAGCGGGTAGGGGGGCGGTGGAATGAGCAGCAAGCAAAAAGGAGGCGCCTTGGCTCTCAGGAAGTAAGCAAAGGACCGAGAAAGCTCAGCCCTCATGCTGCCCTCACTCTCTATGGAGCCTGGCAAATTTCGAAGGTGTCAGAGCGGGGGGCAAAGAGGTGGCTGGCCTTGTTAGGGAGAAGCGAGCCTGGTTCCCTGGGCGTGTATGCCAACGGAGACCCAGGGAGCATGTGAGGAGGCAGGAGCTTGGCTGCCCCATCTTGGGCTGGGCCACGCAGGATGAGGGAGCCTGTCTTCCGTCCTTCACTCCACCATCACCCCAGCCCCTCATCTCCCAGCAGGATCCTGAGGCCCCTTTGCAAAGGCAGGAGCAGCAGACTGGCTCCTGCGAGCTGCGGGTGGGTGCCGATGAGCAGGGCAGGGCTCCACCCGGGGAGAGGCAGAGGATGAGGCAGGAAGGGGACCTTACACGGCGCAGGAGATGGCACGGGGGCAGAGGGCATGAGGAAGCCCCTCTCTCTGGTCCTCCCGCTGCTTCACCCTGGAGGTTCTTCTCCCTGGGACTATCCTCTCCCCTGGGTACAGACCCCTTCACTCCCGTGAGGCCGCGCAATGCCTGGTAAGGCAGGGACTTTTGGGGACAGACTGGGCGCAGGTCTCTTTTCACAGGAACAGTCACTTTACTAAGCGCTATGGTCTTGGTTCCCGATCCCTGGGGAGGGGGTGAAACGCTGAGGACACAGGGTCTATGTGAGCTTTGGGAGGAGCTGGGGGAGCCCAGGAGGGCAGGAGACCCCAGGGGGAAGGTCAGGAGTTAAGTCCTACTTTGGGCTTGACCTGCTCCAGGCCTCCTCCAGGCCCGATGGCAGTGAGGGTGGCTGGCCGAGACCCTGAGGGAAGCCCCTTTGGCTTCTGGTGGGTGAGGGCACTGTGGAGAGCCCGTCTCAGGACTTGGCTGAGGAAGGTCTGTTTCCGGGACCTAATGGGGTCGGTGAGGGCAGTTCTGTGTGTGTGTTTGGGCGGAGGGTCCCTGGGACCCCTGGGGTTCAGTCCCCAGGCCTCCCTGGCACTTCCCTTGCCACAAAAGGAGTAGCATTTACTGCCGGGCCCCTCTGGTGTGCTCAGAGGCTCCAGCCGGCCCAGCTCTGCACACTCAGCCTCGATGCTGCTCATTAAAGGGATTAGCAGGGCACTTCTGCTGGGCCCTGGCTGCAGCCACACACCCCCGTCCCAAGCTAACCACCCAGGCGGCCTGCGGGGTGTAGGATTAGACCTCGGGGTGGAGTCTTAGGTGGCACCCACCGCCCACTTCCAGCAGAGAGGAGGGAGAATGCCCCCCACCCTTACCCCTCAGCCTCAAGGGCCTGAGGAGTGGCGGGGGGCGGGGGGCAATGTCGGCCCAGGCTGGGGAGGCAGATGAGGGAAGTGGTTAAGAGCACAGGCTCTGGGTCCTGCTACCTGGGAGATCTGGGGCAAGTTACTCAACCTCTGTGCCTCAGTCTCCTGCGCAGGAGGGTAACTGTCTCTTTCATAGTGCGGTCGTAGAATTAAATTAAACAATGCATGTAGAGCACATCATGAAGTGCTTAAAGCTTCCCATCAGCAAATGGGAGTTACTCTTATTGCTGCAATTGTATTAGCGCTTGTGATTATCCACAGGACCTCGGGGTCCCTCTCCATCTTCCCTCCCCAGCAGGTGTCTCTGGCATCCAGGCCCCACCGGTTCGCGCTCCCCCTTCTCCACTGGATCTTGGGAAAGAGGCTTTCTTTTTAATCAAGAAATGGCCTGAAGAGGAAGATGGCAGATATGTGTTTACAGCTTTTCATCTCCCTCCTTGCCTCTTTGAAAATACCTTCTTCCGAGCTGGAAAATAAATTTCCAACCCTGTTGACGTGCATTGATTTTTTCCCTCCTGCGTCCACCTCCCAGTTCTTCCCCGTCAGCAGGGCCTGTGGTTAAGCCCCTTGTCTGGGTTGGGCTCAGTGGTACCCCCGGGGAGTGGGTGGCCCCAGAGCACGGAACTGTCAGCCAAACTGCCCGATCGTGCCCAGTGCCTGGCTCAGAGGTCTGCACACAGAAATGGCTTCCATCCCCTTCTGCCGTGAGGGTTCTTGGCTGGGGGGTTGAGGTCAGGGAGTGGGGTGGGGGGAAGGAGGTCCTCTGAGCAGGAGATTAGCGATTTTTAGCATCTTCCCTGAAGGGGATATACAGAGAGGAGACCAGGGGACCACAGGACTGCTTCAGGCTCGGCAAGTGGATCTCAACGGGGTCTGCCCCAAGCAATCGACTTTGTCAGCAAGGGGCCTGCCAACAAGGGCCTGGGACCAGCTATGCAAGCTGGGGCTTGGAGAGAGAGGCGCTAAGGAGATGGGGGGGCTTGACTGCATCCTGCGGGTTCAGGAGGTTTGTCAGCTTCCTGGTGCTGGAACCCGAAGAGATGATCCGGAGGCCAACTAGGGGGTGGACACGGCCAGGGGCTGCTTGTCTTACACCAGCCCTGGGCCTGGAAACTATTGCTCTCTCTTCCAGAGAACGGGAGTGGCTCACGGAGGTGGGGGTCTCTTCAGGGAGACAGAGATGGAGTTGCCTGAGCTGGCTTCTGGAAACCCTGACAGCTCTGTCACAGACCACACTCTGGGTTGGAGCCAGCCTCAGCCCCAGGGCACTTTTCAGGAGGTTAAAAGGGCAGCAGTTAAAGGAGGCAGGCAGCCTGTAGGGAGGCCTCGATTTTCTTCCCACCCTGACACACCGAACTGAGGCTGCACGGCCCGCCTGCACCTTCCCTTTTCCTGTCCCCTCAGCCCTGCCGTACCCCACCCTCAGGCACCCCCCTCAGGCTCCAGAGCCCGCAGAGAGGCCAAGAGACCAGGGATCCTCGCCTTCCACCAGCACCAGGTCTTGGAAGGATGGGGGCTGGGGGGGGTAGGGCTGAGAAGGTATCACCTTTCTCCTCCAGCAGGGGTTTTTATTCCCCTCCCGGGCACACTTGTGGAAGGAAGGAGGGCAGTTTCTCGAAGCTGAGGGGGCTGAGGATGAAAAGGGCCTTCGGAGTTCAGATCATGGGAATCCTGGTCTGGGTGATGGCATGAGGGAGAGGAGACGACAGCTAACAATGGCCTGGGTGTCTTCACACCTGTGTCTGAGCACAGAGCCCTGGCCCACTGATTCCACCCTACTTCTGGTCATCTCACTGCACACTCAGCCTGGGGTCCCTGAGAGCTTGTGCCAATGGCCCAAGTCCTGCAGCCAGTGGGCAGGTACACGCCTTCCCTCCTGGCAGGAGTCTCTTCCAACACACAGGGCTCCCACAAACACGCTTTCTTATCTCCTTGCCCAGCTCTTGTTCCTGACCCCCGCAGGTACTGAGACCCAGAACGTCACAGGATGAGGCCAAGGCTACATGGCCTGCCTTGCCCCTCACCAGCCCCTCCCCCGCTGCCAGCTCCAAACATTAAGGGCAAATTATCTGCTGCTCATGGCTCAGGTACCTGGAAGTGTGTCCCTTGGCCACTGGGGCCACGCACAGCTGCCTAATAACCTCGGGGTTTTGTGGGGAGACCTGAGGCCTCAAGGAGACCTCAGACCCTTCTGGGCACCCACTGGCCACTCCCTGGAAGGTGAAAGTCATGATCAATACCTGGAAAGGATGGTGTAGGAAACTGGCAAGTGGAGAGCCCTCTCTGTGCCTTAGGCTCCACCCAGAAAAACTGGGGAAAAGGCACATCACCTTTCTTCCCTCCAACAGGAAAGGTCCTTAGGCCTCTGGAAACCCTACTCGTGACAGCAGGCCAGTCTGGCATTAATACATGAGACAGGGGCCTAGAGGTAGGCTAGGTTCCGAATTCCTGGTGGGTCCAGTGGGGATGACAGGAGAGGAGCATGCTGGAATGGAAGAGGGGGAGGGATGGAGGCTGAAGAATGAGGAAGGGCATCCTCCATGCCCCACCCCCTCCTCCCTTGGAGCCAGCTGCGTGCGTGCGTGCGTGCGTGTGTGCGTGCGTGTGTGTGTGTGTGTGTGTGTGCGTGTGTGTGTGTGTGTGTGTGTGTGTGTGTTGGGGGTGGAGAAGGGAGCAGAGCATCTGAGTTCCAGGCAGAGCAGCTCACAACCCAGCCCCGGATCCCTTCCCAGACTTAGGTGGTATTTGCCAGAGGGTAGGCTGGCCTGTCTGGGGGCTGGAGCCTTTCCCCGGGTCCCCCCTACAACAGCCATGATAGGGCACCAACCCCAGCCAGGGGAAGACCAGAAAGGCTGCCACAACCCGCTCCCAGGCAACCCACGTGACCCAAGCCCTCTCAAGTCTTGGCTTAAGGAGAAGAGAGCAGGATCACCCACCCAGGTCACCTCGACCAGCACCCCATGTGTGGGGACCCTCTCGGTGTCACTACGTCTGTCTAACTTTAAATCCTGACCCAGGCAGAGTATGTCCTGTCACAGCATATTATACTTGGGGATGGCAAAGGCTGAGCTGACCTGGCTCACGGGTCCCTGGTTTTGAGTTATGTGATAAATCTGGCTGAAACCATGCTTGAGATCAGCCAGATGTAGGAGCAGCCTTGAGCTGAACCTCCCCGTGGGTGTCGCGGAGGACTTGCTCTAGCCCCAGTTCTGCTGCCGACGTGCTGAATGACCTGGGCAGGTTGCTTCACTTCTCATCTGCATCACCATCTGTCAGGCAGGAGGGGAGGGGCTGCTCTGCAGACCTCACGGGGCATGTGAGGCTCTAAACAGAAGAGGATGTGAAGGTGCTTCAAGAAGCAGGATACGCCCGGAGCGCGTGGGAGAGACCACTCTCACTGCAGTGGGGTCCTGGGTAGAAAGCTGGGGTTGCCATCTCTGATGCTTCAGCAGGCTGAGGCCCTTGCAGAAGCGGTCCTCACCCAGGCGGGCCCAAAATGCCCCCTGTAGCTCCAGGCCAGCAGCACAACACGGGGGGCAGAGCTGCGGCAGATGCCATCTGAGGTAGATGCAGGGGGGCAGCGTGGAGGTAGAGGACGCCCAGCCAGGTGCTGGACGGGCCTCCTTTGTGTGCGTCTGCATGTGGGGCCCCGCGAACATGCCCACTCAGCATGGCTCTGGGGAGGACACAGAGCTTGGAAACTGTCCCGGGGAACCAGGTGTCCGGCAGCCAGCCTCGACCTTCCTGCCTCCTGAAGTCCAGCCTTGAAGCTCGGAAGACCCCACTGAGCTCCCAGGCGGGGTCTTCCCGAGCCGCCCTCCGGGGCTGTGAGACAGCGCAGGGGCCCATGGACCACAGGAGAGATGCTGCTCCTTGAACACGGCTGGCCTGATGGGCTCGAGCCACATCCGGTTCTCACTCAAATGTCCAAATGTAATTAAATTCTCTCCGATGCAGCGGAAGAGTTTGGTAAGATGTGGCTTTCCCCCTTCCATCAAGGTTAAGAAATCACCATCATCATCTCTCATTCCATGGACTGACCCAGTCTCCTCCCTGCCACTGATCTGTCCCGTTCTGTACAGTTAAGGCCTGTGCTCTTATCTGTTTTCTAGAGCTGATGGGGCTGGGGCCCATGCCGCACCCTCTCCCGCACTGTCCCACTTACCCACCTGAGAGGACGGCCAGCTGAGGCCAAAGCAGCAGGCTCGCTTTGACTGAACAAGTCAGTGCACTGTGGGCTGGGCAGGGGCGGGGAGGTGAGCAGCCCTGGGGACACGGCTGCTGAAC